CCACGATCACACATATATTGTGGTATTGGCTTATACATCATTAAGATAACGTATTCCGTATTACAATCCAGTCGTCTTGCAGAAGCTTAAGGAGCTTAATGATTCAAAGTGTTCATTTGTTTTAGTCGCTTTCGGCAGTTTAGCAACTAATTCATCTCAATAATAATGTACTTAAAAATGGGTACTCTATTAGTATGAATATCCTTTATTAAACATGAGTAACCCTTTCAAGAGAAAAAACGCTCATATACGTAAATCACGACTGTTAAATAAAGATAGTCGTGATACCTGAACTAAACTAGCTTTTGCGAATTCAACTGTCGACTGGCGCCTGTCGAATTCATTGCTATTTTATGGCCAACTCATTTAAATATGAATGCTTAAGTGAGTTGATACTCTTAATTTATATTTACATGAGTTGGTCATAATAAAACAGTAATCAAATCGACAGGCTTCATTCAGTCGACAGTTGAATTCGTGAATGCTAGATTAGTTCACCTTGAAACTTAATGTGAGTTAATAAACGTATTGTGACCGATAGTTGGTTGTGGCAGACGACTGAGTAAGGTCAAACTATATCCTTATATAACGTCCATAATTTAACTGTTGAGGCCATGATTTACATTCCGAAACCCATAGTTTTCAGTTTTAACGCCAGAAATTAACGCTCATATTTTACGTTGAAAACAAAATACCTGACAACTGAATGCGTGCATAAAAGTCTTAACGTTCATAAATAACGCCAACACCAACATAAAAAACGTATGTAATCACTCGGTATGTTTCTTTCTTATGGCTTTTTGCAAAGGAGACATTACATGTTTGGCCGATTTGATGTTTGATATCAAAATTACACAGTCTCTATAACCTGCATCATTTTATACACTGGGCTGTTGACGTCAGTCATCCTGTTTGAAGAATCGTTAGAGGATGCGATCTATCTAACATTAATTCAAGATTGTTAGAAATCAGACAGTTTCTAAGTCAACTTTTATCAGATATCTTCTAGGTTATTTATTACAAGCCTTAGTAGCGGATAGTTCCATTTTCAACCTAATATAGAGAATCAGTTTTGATTAAGTTCCCAATTTACAAAACCGTTTAGTCAATCTGCTTCAGTGGGTTAGCTATGATCTTAATATCCATAGTTTGTTCAAGAAGGTGATGCTTCTGCCAATATAGTTGGAGAACCTCTTTATTCAATTCTTTTTTATACGAGACACAATTCATTTTTTGATTTTGATTTGATTTGGGAGAAATCCAACATTCGTCGTGAACACAAATTCGAATTAATCATACAATACAATGCTTAGAACTAAAATGCCTGAATTTAGACACACCCTTTCGACAAAATATAGAGCGGTTTCTGGAATGGAATGGTCATATACAGACACAGTTATAGATTATCTTTCCAAAAAGGAAACAAAGTATTTGAATTTATTTTTTAACGACAGACGAAAGGAAATCTTTAAAATAAATGAAGAGGCTATGTCTAAGATAACGTTGCAAAAATCAATAAATCAAAATTGGCAAAAACGAAGTATAATAAGGCACACTTCTTTAGGGATAACGACAACACAGATTTTCTCAGGAATTCGTGTTCACTTTAAAAAAAACTTTCCTCTCAAATGGATGCATTACGATATTATATCTGATTTACTCTTTTGAACCTCGCTACTAATGCAGTACATTATGTACATCGGCGCTTACTAATCTTGTTGACTATACGAGAAAAATTGTGAGCTGTTCCATCAGAGCCTTACAAACATATCAATCTGTTGGTCTTCAAAGTTAGGTTAAGTAGAAAATACGGACAGCGACTCTATATTATCTATTATTTAATCGATTCGTAAATCACTAGGTTTTAAATAACGACCGTACTATATTTTATATTACGTCCTTTCATACCAGTTATTTATATTGTACTTATACCTTTAATTAGAGATGTTTCTCGAGGATCTATTGTTTTGAGAGATAGTTACTAACCGTGGTATTTTTATGAATAAGGAAGGTAGGTCACTGCTAAAATCCGTGGAGAGGCTAAAAATATGTCGGTGCGCACTATCAAAATATATATTCAACTTTTTAAATTCAGCGTTAATTGTTACTTATCGTTTGTTTAATGAGAAGCTTCGTAGAAGAATTATGGTCCATAAAGACCGTGAATTATGGTCGTAGGTTGCAAACTAAAGACACAAAGTTGTTATCGAAAACAATATACAACCTGAAGACACTAGATTCATTCCTTGTTATTTTATCGTGGTTGTTAGATTCAGTTTATGTTAATCACTCAGGAAGTTTATGCCTCAATGCAGTCGTTCTTGAGTAATTTGTATCCATGAATTATTTATATACATGTGTAGTATTTCATGAGAGAAACAATAAAGATAGCTTTGATTGATACTTGTAAACATTCCAGATGAATTCTATGATAATTGCAAATCAATGGAAAGACAAATTAGTATCGCAAAACCTAGTTATATAGTAAAATAAATCTTAATGAGTTGAACAATCTAATTTTTTCAAAGTTGTGAACAGGGAGAGGGGGTGCAAAGGGGGTGGGTGACAAATCAGGCCCGTAGCCAGGATTTCCCAGGGGGGGGGGGTCAGTTTTCAAAAATTTCCAGGGGGGGGGGTTCACATTTGACAATTTTGGCCCAAATATGGCTAAAAGCACTTGAGAAGTGCTCAAAATGGTGAAGAACTGCATGAAAGAATTTTTGAAAGAATTTTTGGCCAGGGGGGGGGGGGTTCGCCCGAACCCTGCGAACCCCCCCCCCCCCCTGGCTACGGGCCTGCAAGTTGTATTTCAAAGCAGAGTAAGCAAAGAGAAACTGTACAAGTTTAACGATATAAATTTTTCCATAGCTGTGAATAGAAAAATGTAAGCACTAGTGTCAAAGGATGAAAGACAAACGAGCGTTACAAAACCCATCAAGGAAACGTTACATGTCTTCTAAACGGCAAATCTTTCTACACAGTATCGCTTATATTAATGTAGATGATGGGAATTTCCGGAGAATCGATATATTTTCTTGTTATAAGCGATGATAATACGTTTTCAATTAGCTTAGAACTATGAAAGACAACCCATTTAAGAAAGCAATAATTATAAAAAACAGTTCTTTTGATGTGAAGAATGCTTTCGTTGACAAGAAAATTCTAAAGCTAGAGGCAGTACTCATATTTTTCTATCATAAAATTACTTATCTAAACCCCCACTGCAATATAGAGACTCAACAGTTTTTTTGGACAAAGGGATCGTGTTTTGTCGATTTTATTAGCAATATTTAAAAACAAAAATTTTGCATTCCAATACTGCAACAAGTGGTGCGATTTACGAGCTCTTGAATTCTGTATTTCTAGATAAAAATTGATGTCATTTCTCGCGAGGAAGAATTATTAATTACTGCATTGAGTGCTAATTTCAACCGTTAACCAGCATTGAAATAACTGTCTTGCGTTTACAATTCGTCCTCTTGTTCTCTGATTAACGTAGTCAACGTAGAAAAACATTTAGTATTTTGTCAAGTTTCTGGATTGCCTAATAAAAGAGTTCACGTCAGAGTTCTCGACAAGATGTATGATGACTTAACATGGCGGTTTCAAGCTGAAGTTTGTTACATTATCTATAAGATCGAAGGCAGACCCGTAGACGGCTATTGCCAATTTTTGGCTCGAATCTCCCGATCTCCGTGTCTACGGGCTTGAAAAGGGTCCTGATATAAACAGTTATACTCTTCTTTCCAGCGAGTTACAGCTACAAGGTATGTCATATTTCATGGACGATTCAACTAAGGAATTCAATCAGAACGTACCAGGAGAGTTAGAGACTTATAAATAACGGCTCACACTAGCCATCCAATATTCTATATTAATATGATGGTTTTTTCGGTTATGGCTTTTTTTACATCTAGAAACTAATGATATTGATTGAAATATGAGTTGATATATTAGAGAGATTTTGCAACTCACTTACAGCATGTTTATTATTCCCGTATAGCGTATATCTTATGAAGCGTTTGATTACGTCATCATTTATTGCGCACCTCTATACGTCCATACGTGTGATATTCTTATAAATTGTCACTCATACGTAAGAATATCACACTCTTGGACGTATAGAGCAGCGCAATAAATAATGTAGTAATCAAACGGTTCATAAATGTAAGTTATACGTTATACGGGAGTAATAAACATGCTATAAGTGAGTTAAAATCTGTTTATCATCAAAAGAAATAACAACTTAATAGAAAGAAAAATATCATATTTCTATGAGAACATATCCCATCATTCTATTGTGATTTTTTTCATTATGTGATCATTTAGATGTCAAGCTATAGATAGGTTCAATAGATACATTTTTGGTACTGCAACGCGCGGATTGACAAGCACGCCATTATATAAATAGTGATATCTTCTGAATGTCACATAATCCAGACATTTATCCTTGAGTGTGTTATGAATATTTGAAGCATACTTCCATCATTATTCTTGACAGTACATGTTTTAAGAGGTCTTTAAAGTCATAAAGGCATAATGTAGGATCATGTTATAGTCTTTTTGACGTTTCTTAGATATATCAAAGATGGACCTCCAAGAAACCCCACCTTTAAGTTGTATACAACTTCATCAGAGGCCGCTTCGCATTTTACTCTATGCTTTGGCACTGGGTTTGGAAGGTCTATATTAAAATTATTTGTACTTTTAATGCTGTCAGCCAAGACCCAAATCCCGCCTATAGGAATTGATGAGGTATATATGTAGAGTCACTGAGTTCTAAATCATCCTTCCGAAAAATATCAATTTTTTTTGTCTTAAAAAAGATATATGGACCAAAACTCTTAGAAACACGAATTCATTAACTTCTGGGATCTTAAAAACCAAATTTCTTCTATCTTTGTCGTAAATGGTACCAAAAACACATAGATTACGATAAAATAATTCCAAACTACACCAGTTTTTGTTTCTCTCTTTCAAAAAATTAATATAGAACTTACCATTTCGCACATCGCGATGAAATAATCCGATGACTGCAACCAAAACTGTCATCCTGTTAATAGTCCATACAAAAAACAATTATGTTCCTCCAGTTTATTATCTCCAGCGTTATCTAGTCGAAATGATTTTTTAATTGATAAAAGATAAAAATGGTAATTAAATTTCGTCTGCGAGTATTACTTAGCAACAGCAGAAGGTACAACGGTTTCTAGATCCAAACTAATTGCTTATAGAGATTCTGTTTCTAATATAAGCCGTTTGCAAGCAAGCATACTTCTCATCGGCCCCACCCGATATAAGGTAGAGTTAGAATTTAATCACGAAATATATATCACTCGCATGGCATGAATTGATATCATCAATCCTCTTTAGCTCTGAGCTTAACTTTCTGATCTTAAACTTGGACATAGTGCACGAATCATAATTGGCCGACCTTGTACCTTTATACCCACCAGGGGAACATCAATAACAGGACTGCGGAACTGTAGCTCTGTTGTAGTGATATACGGGGAAACCTACTATCATCGAAGAAATATATAGTTCAATTTAGTTTATCTTTTAAAAAGACACCGTCCAACGGATCGATATCCAATCTCTACCTTTATGATGTGACAGGACATATTTACAGCGGTCCGATCATGTCTCGACACGATCAATCTTTGTACCTCATCATATTTCAGCAATAATTTTTCTGAATATGGAGAAAAACTCGAGAATTGATGAAACACATTAAAATCGAAAAACACATCCGGTTTAAAAAAACTGTAACGGCCACAATACACAAACCGAAACAAATGACACCATGGCAACAGAGTCAAAGAGCCATGAATTGTCATCATTCCAAAACTTGAATAATTCAAGTCAAACCATGATGATGCTGAAAGATAAAAACAGTCATGAATGTAGCATGACTGCTATACATACAGCAGCTATGCAAAGATGTGAAATACCCTTGAACCAAGGATGCCAAGTTTATATTGACATCTTTCAAGTTTATAATTAATTGTGTTTTAGTTCCTGTTAACTGTCTACCGATTGTGCTTATCTTCTGCTCTGCCTTTTTCTGTATTTTATCAACCACCTGAGAGATAAGTATATTTTTACATGTCTGATGATTCTTACTTTGAAATAATGAAATATTATAAGAAGTTTTATAATGCCAATTAACATTGTGAATGGATTCTCAACTGATTAACTCATTCACGTTTTCATACGAGTATTACATCGGATTCATCTGAGATTTGCTTATTCATCTATGTTGATCCCATTACACTGACGTATTTGTTCATTTCTAACTGATTACGATTTCACACTGATGTTTCGTCTCTCAATTGATCAATTAACGGACCTTTTTATTATTTTTATTTCATGTCTTTAAACGAGAGCGTCGGCATAAGCTTATCTGGTACTACTAGAGTACTACCTCTGGGTCCATAGCAAAAAAAGCATTTGGAATTTCATTTTGATAATGCCTGAGCTTTCATTTGACAACATATGAAAGATCAGGCCTTAATGGAACTCGCCACGTACATATGATATTGCTTCGTAATTTGTGATGTTGCCATTAGTGCTTTCCCCTTGTCTTGAAATCGATGATTAGTCTGATGACTCGACATTCATAACACTGGGGCAAAATATCAAAGAACTTTCGTTGGAAGTAAATATCAGGATTTAATCGAATGTGGAAAATACGTTCAGAGAATATAGTCATTATGGTAACACAAATTGTGCAGAATTTCACAGATAACATTTTACTCAAGTTTAAAGCGTAATGAGCAATTAGACTAAATATGTGTAGACCTAAATTGATAAATTCAAGCGATGGTTGCAATATACTAGCGTGACAGCTGTAGATTATACCTCTTCTGGGATTAAGCTTCAATCTTCCTCTTTCACGCATCGCGTAATAGGATTATTTAGACAATGCAGGCTCTAAATCACGACCAGAAGTAAGAAATCACACGACGTACTCACAATAGACATGCACGTTATAATGATGTAAATGTTACATTCAAGTTAAAGTAGATGACAACTTCAATCATATAACATTAGCGCCCCCGTATGAAGAAATATTTAAAAATAGTATCCATTTTTCCATAATAACATGTTTTCCCCAAGAAAATAACAGGGAATAAAATTGATATTAAAAAATCCCGTATCAGCCAAAATCCCGTATTGGATCCCGTATCAGCAAAAATCTCGTATCAGAACTATTCCGGGTAATTTCTAATTTCTGAAAATGTTATATGATAAATTGTATCATTTTATGTCACGATCATTGGGTGATGACATACAAAAAAATAAAAAATAAATAGGTTTTAGAAAATCATTATAGAATAGATAGGTTATTGATGGTCGTGATGGAATATGATTTTTTCCTTGAGAAAATATGATATTTTCCCTCGGAATAAAATTCACATTCCATCCCTCCCATTAAATAACCCCTATGTATACTGGATAATAAATGCACAGTGGTACATCGACCTATTATATTGAGAGCTGAAATATTTGATATGACCCAAAGGATCAAATTAAGGGCCACGAACTGTGACCCCAAGTTTTACGCAATTCATTCAAAACACCGTTTTAACAGAATAACGCAATAAATACTTGACAAGCAGCATTTAAATAAAATGAGATAATTAACCAGTAATGGCTTACACCTAGGTAAAGACTTAAATCCATTTTATATATTAGTATTCCGATCAATACGTTATCCAAACGAAGAACCGACAAAACATCCTGTTGATATTTGTTACAACACCTAACTAGCTAGGTACAAAAGATGTAACAATTTCCTGGTATTAAAGGCCCCCTCACATATTGACCGAATCAACTAAACGCAGTCTTGCGAATATTGAATAAATTGTCTGGGGATTGGAAACGTAAACATGCGAACCGAAGCGCATCTTTGCACATGTAGTCCATGGTATGGCTCATAGATATTACAAATCCGTGGCACCATATATGCATAACGACATTTGAACCGATATTTAGGGAGGGGCATATGTCCTTATGCTTTTAAAATGCCATTTGGTAAAAAATATTAAGGCTTTCGGGTCGCATTATGTCTGTCATCACAAGAGGTCAAAAAACGTGAAACTTTTCATGCGCATTTTAGTGCATTTTATGAGACTCAAATTGTAAATCGAAACTTATATATAATTTAAAGGATAAGGATTACATAGAAATATAATACTATTTTAACGTAAATGTCATTTTTCAATTAGTGCATTGCACTAGGGTACTTTTCAACGTTTTATTATTTAGAAAAAAATAAGACAGAGCAGATGTGACCAAATTATGCGAAATATTCAGAAAATCTATAATTAGTAACATATTAGTTTTGTACTTATAGAAACAATATATTCACGGAAATATTTCTTGCGTTTTCAAGGGTCAAACAACGGATAATTGTTAATGATATTCAAAACGTAATCAAATAAAAATATAAGGGATGTATCATTTAAATAATTAATCTAATTTTGGTATTGGAATGTTTACATTTTTAAACTAGATGATTTGCATCGAGGAATAAAGAAGGCGCAGTCAAATGCGTCGCAAATATCATAGTGTCACAATGCTGTGCTCCCACAATAAAATAACCATGCAATGTTGTAAGAAAGTAAGCATTGAATGCATTATAATATATTTCAGTTTTAATTATCGATTGTTTTATAAATGAGAACGCTAGAATGATTGATTAAGAAACCAGAAATCAACTTTCGTGGTTGACGAGTGACTATATTCAGGACGATTTGATGCAGTAGAGCAAGATTTGTGAAATTCAAGATAGTAATTTAGTTTTTTGAACTGTCCCTTGCGAAGACAAGATTTAGTTTTTGTTTCGATCATAACTTGATCATAAAATGTTCGTTCTATTCTAAATGTAAATTTATAAGTGAGAGCCATACTGTCATTAATAAGAACCAGAAACCAACCTTCGTGATTGGTGAGTGACACCGTTAGAGACGATTTCATTCAGCAGGGCGAGATTGTGAATTATACGAAATTAAAGGTACTAATTTATATTTCATTTCATTGACTATCTATATTTTATCATCTGTGTTCACGATATGTATCGTTGTTCCAAGGTGTGACCCTATCAATCATATCAACTCACCCATCGCGTGCAAAGTCCCGATTGGAATTAGGAGAAATTTATAGTGTCGCACACATCCAATCTTTCAGACGAGCCTCCGATATTTAAAGACGACATCGAATCATTTTTTGTAAGACCGGTTCTCTCAATTTTTTCAGCAATCCAACATCTCTCGTTTCCGATCTTTCCATTCGAGTTTTAGGAACCCATACTTCATTTTATAATTTGTAACTTTTTATCAAATCAGGCGTTATTCATTTGTGCACAAACTGTACGTCGCCAAAGCCATGCGAATTGCACTTTTACGAATTGTTGTGAGTGTTGTAAGATACATTTTCCTTTCACGTTGTATATATTGATTTGGGATAGTTGGATTTTCTTTCCATTTGGCAATGAGATCTTAGACATTTCATTTTCCTGCTATGTTTTGTCATTTTTGGTCTTTCGCATTTGGCACTTGTGCGTACATATTCATGACATTTTGGATAGAATTTGGGACAAAATGGCTACTCCCAGGCTATATCTCTTTTGTCTCTATATCGGGTTTTGCTAGAAAAACTAGTTTCTGGGTGAAATTATATGTCACATATGAAGGAGGTAATTTAATTTATAATTGAATACCATGTATTACTCATTTCTGAGTAAATTCTATGCTGAAGAAGTAGTGAAGAAGTTCAATATCATATATATATATTTATGTGGAGTGGTAGTCATTGTCCCTGGGTCGTTGCTAATTGTGAGTACTATCCATACACTTTATTTTAGGGGAGTACAAGTTTCTTTTAACTTCATTCTATATTCTGTATAATCACTGCTACCCACCTAGTTACACAGATGTATCGTCAGTGTATCATGGCGGAACTACTTCCGGGACTAGGTTTCGGTAAGATTTTTTTATTTCCCGATTTACACCTACCAGTACTTATAAGTCACGTTGTGGATAATAATTTGCCTCGAAGTTAAGGAAGATAGTCTTGTTTGAGAATGTGTCTATGGTTTTAGGTTTTATATGTTAACGAAGACACAATTCAGGTATTTAGTAGACTAGATTATCACCCATAACACTGGTGATCCACTCGATTACGCTGGTTACCAAAACGGTTCGTTTTGGTAACAAAATGTCGGAACATCGAAGGTACGATTTTTCTTTTTTCCTTATTTCACACGTTGTAGGCAGA